CAATTAATTCAACAGTGCTCAGGATAATGTAATATTACCTAGACTGTTTCATTATCAGCAATGATATGCTGTTAAAAGCCATTGTGTCCAGCAATAGTTCTCTGCTTTCCACTACAAAAATATTTTGTAAAAGCTTATCTTGTATTTATATTTTTTTCATCTTTCTTATGAGCAGAGTCCTGTCCTGTCCTTGTAAATCTGTTCCATTGTCCAGCTCACTTTTAGCAGAGGACGACATAGCTTGCGGCTCTTATTCTTGAGTATTTTGAAGTCTAGTGCTTCCTTTTTACTGGGATTATTCTTTAGCACTTTGGGCCACACAGGATGGACCTTTGGTCTCCAATACATAGTAATTAGCACACATCGAAGCAGGTTCAATTCATCATAGATTATTCATAGATTCATAGATTGTTAGGGGCTGGAAGGGACCTTGTAGATCATTGGGTCCAGTCAATTATGTAGATTATAATCGAGCCTGCTGCGAGCCTGCTGGAGTGTGCTAATTAGCGTGCTCCAGCGGCCTCTGTGTCTTGCGTGTATTGAGTGTCCCCACATTTCAAAATGGCAGCGGGGGCACTTGAAAGCTTGTTGAACGAGCTTTCGTTAAAGTGCCCCCACTGCCATTTTGAAGTGCAGGATGCTGAACACACATGATGCCGTGGGTGCTTTGGGCCGCTCTATTTAAAGTGTCCCCCCACCCTGGAGCATGGGTATAGGTGCCCAATGGCTGCATTCCCTGTCCTGACTTCTCCAGGAGGTCAGAAACCCAGTGTTGACTGGGTAATTTGGGCATTTAAATGGAGCTAAACGAGACTCTGAAAAATGAGACAGAACTGGTCGGGTGTTTGGACTCCTCCATTAATGTGTCCTTTGTACCCAGATCAGCTTGATTTGATGGTTATGTCAGCTGAACCCATTTGCCACTGGTGTCTAACTCTGCAACTGCATATTGTCAGTTTTCAAACAAACTGCGTTCGTTTAACGTCACACAGTTTGCATTATTATCTGTACAACCAAAGCTCTGGCTTCTTTTCAGGATTCTGTTAGTTTGAGATCAAGAAAAAAGTATGTATCGCTTGCCATTGGAGAGCAGAAATGTCTAAGTGATAGGCAAAGTAATGTTCCCAGGCTTCTCACCTAGGAGCAATGTTAAGCATTTTCAGTCTGATTCTACCAGTCCCTGAATATTTTGTCTAATCACACCGAAATGGCTTGATTGCACTTCAGAAGTGGCTTGAGAGCACTGCAGATGTGCTCAGCTTTGTAATAAGCATTGATTCATCTTCTCTCTCTCTCTCTCTCTCTCTCCCTTTCTAGCAAGCCGTATGTGCTCCGAGCAGAGTGTCCTTTCTTACTGGGCGCAGACCTGACACCACCAGGCTTTATGACTTCTATTCTTATTGGAGAGTGCATGCAGGAAACTACTCCACAATACCCCAGTATTTTAAGCAGAATGGCTACACAACCATGTCTGTAGGAAAAGTTTTCCATCCCGGTACAGTGTGTTCTGTAATAATTTTTAATACATATTCAATATATAACAGCATGTGAACTGTATAGGGACAGAATTATACGTGCTTCACATCATGTTAGTGTACTGTCTGTATGCTTTAGTTTGAAGTCAGCTGTTGGATGAAGGAGTATTGTGTGTTTCAGTAAAGTCCTCAAGCTACCAAGGAAAACAGTTGACTAAAGAATACTAAGGAGTAGAAGATAATGCAGTAGAAATACAAGATTGTTTGTGACACTGTTTGCACTTAACCACAAAACGGTATTTGATTTGGCATTTTAATTCAGATCCTGGTGTTAGTACATTTAATTATATATGTATATGTATATGTGTATATATATTATATGTTGACTGCTGTTGTTCATAGTTCTGCTTAAAATTTCTGAGTTTCTCTTTCTCTGTAGCAAGGCATATTTGAGGATTATTACCTAAATTGGATAGTTTGACCCTTTAGTTTTTGAACGCTCACTCTCTTAGTCCCATAAACTGGCAATTTTAATGGAAGTGCGTGGTTTTTTTTTAGCAAAATAGTTCAAGCACCTGTGTCTCCTGCTAGAGCGGTGTACAGGGACATTTCTGATGCTTTGCCTATACTTCTCTTTTTCTAGGGATTTCATCTAATTATAACGATGATTATCCATACAGTTGGTCCATCCCCCCTTTTCATCCCTCTACTGAAAAATATGAAAACACTAAGGTAAATGAGCAGTTTCACTGCATTATGTCTATAATTAAGTTGTGTTTTGTGGACTTTTTTTTAGCAATATACACTCTTGCTAATGTGAGTCAGATTCATTAAGAACATAATGTAGTGGATCAGAGCGGTGGAAAGGAAAATCATCGCTCCAACTCGCTTCTTGTTGACTCCCTCCCGAAAGGATTTTTTTGATTAAAGGAAAGTTACTATAATTAATCCTGCAAATATGTGAACTTGTGGGATTTCCGAGAGGCCTGAATTCTTATCAGAGTGGGGTTCTTAATTTTTGTTGACTATGGAATCCTTTCTCTCAAAACTACCGCTGTTGGATCCTGCAGTTTCCTTAGCCAGTTCTCTAGGTGGTAAAAAATGTGATCAGCTGGCTTGAGACTACTCTACTGGATATGAATCCTAAAGCGTCTTGATTTCAGAACCTGTCACTTGTTGCATGGTGGGTTTTATTTATGCGGCTCGCGGGGCAGGATGGTCACGGATATGTTTGTGTTCAAATTCTGGCCCATAGCGTAAAACTAATGTTGGTGTCTGGATCTTAGACCCTTTTGCTTCCTCAGTCAGCTGGCACAAAATTGAAAGGCTGAAACCCAATGTAACCATGATAATTAAATTTAGATCATCTCAGTATCAGAATTTTCCATCTCATTCAACTTCTGAGGATGTTACAGTTCTGTTAAGTGTGGAACAAAAAAATCAGTATAATATTTTGTAAATATGTCCAACACGGTAGTATTTGCAGTAACCATTTGGTAACATCCACCCCTTTTCTGTTCTATTATGCAATTTATTTTGCCAAAATATTGGCTTGAAGGGCATTCGGGACTTTCTGCTGCCACTTGCTTCTCCTAACACCCATTTAGTGTATGTGCAAAAGACCTGCCAAGCCTGCTTTCTCTTCTGAACCCCTTATTGTAATCAGTACTAGTACTTGCCCAGGCACTAGCAAGTCATGCAGTTGCTTCCAGCGTGCCTCTCTAGGGGGTTCTTGGGCTTGGAGGGAGCAAATGGGCCAAAAAAATAACAGAGCACATGTTTGTCCTAGAAATCATGTGATTGTGCATATGACTATACTACATTTTCAGACCCGCTCTAGAGATGAAATTCTGCTTCTCAGTGGGGAGAAGAGTTGCCTGTTTTTCTAAGTGGTCTTGATCAGCTCACCTAGAACAACGCAAAACTTTTATATTTCTATTACAAACTGCTAATTTCCACATTGAATTCAATTTGCAGTTTACGCTGTGGGTAGAATCAAAAATGAATTGATCTTGTGTGACCTGTGTAAAAATAAAGTAGTTTAAATCTTTCTTCTTTTTCCAGACTTGCAAAGGGAAAGATGGAAAGCTTCATGCCAACTTAGTTTGCCCTGTGGATGTGGCAGAAGTGCCTGAGGGCACCTTGCCTGATATCCAGAGCACTGAAGAGGCCATTCGCTTATTGAACGTCATGAAAAAAAAGAAACGCAAATTTTTCCTGGCTGTTGGTTATCACAAACCACACATCCCACTGAGATATCCTCAAGTAAGAATGCTTGGATTAAACAGGGTCACTGGGATTTATGGGGGATGGGATTTTAAATCTGAATTCATCAGCTTTAAAAACTACTACAAATATCATGGTTATACTGTTACTGTAAAGTGATGTGAAAAACATCCTTTTACTGTGAAGCCGAGAGCTGCTACTGCTACCAGTAACTAGAGTCAAAGCACAGAACATTTTAAAGTGCCAGATGAAGGGTTTGGTTTAACTACCTGTAGTCAATGCATATCCACTGAACGGTATTGTGCAGTGAGCCTGATTTGAGGTGGGCAGATCGAGAGCCTGATCTTCCCTCCCTATGTGTGTTGATGTCAACATTTCTACTGATCTCAGAGAGAGAAGAATTGGGCCCTAGTATTTTGAGAAAATTTGGCTTCATTACCTATGCCAGAAGGCTCTGTTTTCCAATTTGATTTTGCATAGTGTAATCTGTGCTATACCAAAGAGCTTAGTACAACATCATATCTTCAGACTTTAACAGGAAATACATTAGTGCACGTTAAAATCTTTACCCCGGGTAGCTTTTACACTAAGGAGGTTGTCTTCATCAGTAATAAACCTGATGGAGATGTGGGGAGGCGAAGTGGCAGCTGTATCATGATGCATAATGTGAAGAAGGTCTTGGAGGCAGAGGGATGGCTCTCTTGTCTCACGTTGATTCTGAGCTTTCTTTCATCCTTTGATGACTCTTTCAACAGAAGTGTGGCTTTCTTAGAGCTTTCTCAGGCATTCTGAGTTGCAACGATAGTAGTGATAAAGTTTAAAACAGCTTAAATAAAAACTACTAGCTCTCTTCTCCACTAATTGGGTTTGGTTTTCACAATATCGCCTGTAATCCTACCAGTTCTTTATGGGCACTTGGAGTCTTCAAAGAAAAGCAGGAATAGAAAGACTTCAGGCTTAAAGCAGATCAACTAAGGCAAAAATGGACCACTACTTGTCGGGGAAAAATCAGGGATTTTTTGTTGGGGGGTGTGTGTGTGTGTGTGTGTGTGTGTGTGTGTGTGTGTGTGTGAAGTCTGGAGAAGCCAAAAAGGGCATAACTCTTGGTTTTCATTTTAAGTGACCCTGAATTGAAAATAAAGCTTGGGGTCCTGGATCATAGCTCACTCCTACCTGCTCTAGTAATACAGGTAACAATAACGTTTTTAAGGAGTGAGCCCTCTACACCCAGGGTGCTATACAAGCAAACTAGAGGTGGTCCATTTGGTTATAGAAATCGCAATAGAAAAATAGAAAATATAGAAATAGAAAAATGCCATAATACTGAGAGTGTTATTACTGCATTACAGGCTGTACCTTTACAATCAACTCTGGTGTTCAAGGTGCCATTCTCCTTCATTTTCTTTGTATGTTTGCTTTGCTTTGTGAAGGAATTTCTCAAGTTGTACCCCCTGGAAAATATCACTTTAGCCCCAGACCCATGGGTGCCTGAAGAATTACCACCTGTGGCATATAACCCTTGGACAGACATCAGGGAAAGGGAGGATGTACAGGCGTTAAACATAAGCTTCCCTTATGGGCCAGTTCCAGAAGACTTTCAGGTAAGCAGCTGATGCAACTCATTGAAATGGCGCTTCCCTCGGGAGATTACACGCAAAGTAGCACTAGGCAGTTCTTAAAGGTTTTGGATGCTTTCAGCACGCAGTATCTTTGGCGGTGTGTATGCCTTTCCTGACTAGCTTGCACTGCCACCACAAGACATCTAGGCCAGCCTCAGCTAGAACAAAATCATGAAATCTGTCAGATGCCATCACTGTTGGGTGCTGGACAATGTGTGGCCTGTTGTTTTTTTTCCTGCTAGTATCATGGTTTGGGCTGTGAAACACAGTGGAGGTGCATTCAGTACTTAACAAAAAATATAGACACCTCTTGGCAGGAAACTGTTCTGCCTTTTGTCATCAGCCCTGCCTCTTTTAGGACCAGGTGTAGGGTACCTTCTGGCAAAACTGGCATTGGACTTCTACAGAGCTCCCGCTAGCATGCTGAGCCATTTCTAGGTGGCCTCCTAGGTTACATTCAGTTTGGAGCCTGGATTATGGGCAGATGCTTGACAATAAACCTTTCCTCTGAAAAGGCTGCACACCTTTTTGATTAGGATAGACCCAAGGGGTGCCACGACAGTTGAAATGACCTGCTTTTCCTTGTCTCATATAACTTGCAGCGGCTGATACGTCAGAGCTATTTTGCAGCAGTTTCTTATCTAGATACACAGGTTGGCCGGCTGTTGAATGCTTTGGATGATCTTAAGCTCTCTAGGAAAACGATTGTGGTATTTACTGCTGATCATGGTAAGTAATCAAGGGTTTCTTGGGCAAAGTGCAAACTCCTCTTTTCTGAGTTGCGCAGTCAAACATGAGTCACTTCCACACTTGTGTAACATGGAGCTCTGCTGACAGGCTCCAGGAATGGAGAAAGGAGAAACTCCTATGCTTGTGGTGGTTGCCTACAAAATGTTGAAGCCAGCGTTTCAGCAATGTGGCTGCAATCCATGTTGCAGGGCCCATGCCCACAGTAGCTGGTGGTGCTATGGGTGTCACTTTAATTTGTGTTAGTGAGGAAAAATACCTTGGAGGCATAGGGAGAGAACCATTTAACTGTTTGCAGTTTGCTTGAGGCCGATAGAGCCAGATTCAAAAAAAGGGACTAGACACATTCATGGATGGTAGATCTATTAATAGCTTTTAAACAGAAGAGTCCTCTGACGTCTTTAAACCAAGGATGGTAGATGCCAGAGAGAGTAATGAGCAGGGGATAGATCACTCTAGATACACCCTCCTCATGCTCTCCCTCTAAAGCATCTGCTCTGGCTACTGAGCTAGATGGACCACTGGTCTGACCCAGTATGGTTTCACTGAAACCTGCCTCTTGCGTCTATAGTAACAAGCAAAATGGTCCAAGGGGCCTTCCTATAGGAGAATATCGTACCTCGCTTAACTGGCATGGGAAGGGCTTGTTTAGAGACATTTGAGACAGCTAATCTGAATGAATTGCTAAAGTGGGTATTAAACCCCTATGTAAATGCATGTATTTGGAATTAATGGGCACTTTTACATGTGATGTGGGGGTGGGAGGGAGGCGCTTTAATTGGAGCGGCTCCGAGAACTGCTCTAATTAGCGTTATCATGTCTCAGCATCCGTGCACTTAAAAACAATGGCGAGAGTGGTTGCAGTAAAGCTCGTTCGACTAGCTTTAGTTCAGGTGCACCTGACAGCATTTTTAAGCGCGGGGATGCTGGTATGCAAAACACAAGACTCGATGAATCAAGTTTGCTCCGACGTGTTGGACTTCCAAAGTGGCCAGCTGTGTAATGCCTAAAAGGAGCGGTCTGGAGACTTGTGCATGCAAGTTGATGTGCCCGAATTCCTGCGCTGTGCTTTGTTTGACACTTGAATGCCCACTTCTTGATTCTACTTGGGGGCTGGGGGGAGTAAGGAAAGGAAGAGCATTTGTAGTTTAGAGACATCTGCATTTATCCATAACAACACTGGTATTTAATAGTTAATTTTAACTTAACAATGTACTAGTGACCTTAAGCACTGTGGGTAAATCTGGCCACTTAACTGACTGTTAAAGGAAATAATCACTAAGATGTTATCTTCATTCAATTTTTTTTCTGCTGTCTAGGATGGTCTCTTGGCGAACATGGTGAATGGGCGAAGTACAGCAACTTTGATGTTGCTACCCGGGTGCCATTGATGTTTTATGTACCAGGAAAGACATCTTCCTTTGCTAACCCTGGAGGGAGACAGTTCCCTTATCTTGATCCCTTCACTCATGTTTCAAACTTGATACCTCAAGGTAAATTTTTAACCTTTGTATAACCTTGTTCACTGCAATCCCATAACATGAGCGTTGGTAATTTAGTGGTAGAATCCTTGCTTCTCACGTAGGTGACCTGGGTTTCAATCCCATCCATTGTAGAACCAGGGTGCTTTTTGGACAGCCTAACCTAGGGATGTAGAGGAATTGCCTAAATCGGAGATTTTTAGAAAACAAGCTTGACAAACATGGTCGAGGCATCCTTCGACCTTCCTTAGTGCAGGGGCTTGGAGTAAACGTTCTCCAGGGGCCACTTCAAGCTCTGCATTGCTGTGATCTTAATTGAAAGACCACACTTGCCATTGATTGATGGGATCAGCAGGCTTGAGGCTTCTTGGGAGCAGCCCTGCTAGAGGCTACCTCTTGCTGAAGTATGGCTAAGCCCAGGTGCTGATACTCAGAAGTTGGAGGGTTCCTTACAATTTTTTTAGCTTGCAGTGCTAGAGACAGGCATGAACCTGACCTATGTTCTCAGCTTAGTCTTCAGTGACTAGGAAAATCTAATGTAGATGTTAGTGCCCAGGCATCAGCATTGTTCATGCTGTCTCCTGTGCACAGCAGGGTGCATCAGAGGTTGTTTTCTGTTGCAAAACACACATCCGGCTCTGCTGGCCAAGTGTAGGATTCAGAGAGCAGGGGGAATTGCTGGTGTGAATATGTTTGCACTGCAGATCTGAGTCAAACTGCAATGACTCTTCCATCTTCTGTTTGGCTTTAGATAGTGCTCTGAGGTCTGCCTTGATGGCAGCAGTGCTTGCAGGTAATGCTGATATAAAATTAAATTGTGAACACCAGTCTTGGCCTCAGATCTGGTTTGGTGGAAATGGATAAAGATCTGCATCAGTACAGCGGGAGCTTCTTTTTTGTATTGTTTAGGTCAGGTGTCCTGTTAAACACCTACCTCTTATAACGAATGGCCTGTGTTGGTTCTGCGGCAGTGGTGACTGCCATTCTTCTTGCAGTTGTGCTGATACCTAGTGTGATGGCAACAAAAGCAAAATTTGTTCAGTTCAGTGCAGTGAAGCAGTTGACATCGCAGTTGCTTTGTTCTTTCTCAGAGGAGTGAATGATCAAATCTTGAAGGCGTGGAGCATTTGAGGAACAGAAGGATCAAAACCTAGTGTCTTCCTGATGCTGTATGATACAGGCTGCTATGTGGACGTAGTTCCTCTGAATTATCTGCATGAATTGAAATAGCTCCAGCCTTGTCATCCTGTGAATCAAATGCAAAAGTAAAATTGAGAGAGTAGAGCAGCTCATCAGGATACGCTTTGAAGATGTTCTGCCCGTATCTTTTTGGCCTGTACGATTCTCTAACTTTGTCCTTCTGATGTTTTTGTTTTTAGGGCGAACCAAAAAAATAGTTGAGCTAGTGTCTCTTTTCCCAACGCTCGCTGAACTTGCAGGCCTGCGGATTCCCCCTTTGTGCCCTGAAACTTCGTTTGATGTTACCCTCTGTTCTGAGGGGAGAAGCATTGTTCGCTATTTTGCTCCCGTGGAAGAGAAGGGTGACTATGGTGGCGATGACTCTGACTATTACCAAGATGACCAGGAAGAGCCCATTGCTTTCTGCCAGTATCCACGACCTGCAGACACCCCTCAGTGGAACTCTGATAAACCAAAGCTAAAAGACATAAAAATAATGGGGTATTCCATGCGGACGGTTGACTATCGGTACACTGTGTGGGTTGGGTTTAATCCCAGTACTTTTAGTGCCAACTTTCAGGATATCCATGCCGGAGAGCTGTACATGGTGGGTACTGATCCTGGTCAGGACCATAACATATATAACAATAGCCTTCACAGTAATGTCTTGAAAAAAATTCTGGCATTCTTGAGGCGCTAGATCTAAGAGTGCTGCTATGTGCACGCTTTTGTTGCTGAAGTAACTGTTTTCTTTATATAAAACTTTATTGTACACAAAGCAACTGAATGCATTAAAACCCAATTTGTACCAAACCAGGAGCTGTTGCTGCTGTCTTCTTACAGCATTCTGGGACTTCTAAACTGCCTGGGCTCAGAAAAGTTGGTGCAACAAGCAGCATATATATGCATGCACATACATGGTGCTTTTCAAATGAGAGCTGTACAACGGTGAGCAAGTACATAGTGTGGTGCATATATAACCCTCAGAAGTGCTGTCTGACACTGTCCCACATGAAAAAGAAAGGCAGATGGTCTTGTCAAAAGGGGTGGCTTGAAATGTAGCAGAACAAATACTTGTGTGTACAAACGAGCTTGGAGGACTTGTGTAAAATCAGAAATAAAGCCAGATCTTATAAGTAGTCTCTGTTTTTACATGTGAACAAACTTGAGGCGTAGCAGTTAACCTACCAAGAGTGTAGCGAGAAGTTATGGAGTGTAGTTCACCTGCTTGTAGACTAATTCCCCAGAATGAAAAGGTCATTGCATTGTATGTCATACTTTTTGTTGCTAATGTAATTATAAAACATCTCCTTTTAAAAAGTCCAGGACATGTTTTAATGTAAATGACTTCTGAAGCCCCGCTGGACTATTTTGCAAAGTGACTTACGCTCAAAGCTCCACTAGCTTTCAGATACATATAGGATCCCACATCACTTGGGCACCATTGAAGATGCTAGCTCTTGGCTTGTTTGTTTTGCTTTCTCTGGATGCCTCCAGGGCAAACGTGTTTCCATGTGAGTTGGAAATGATGAAAATATGACTGAGGATGGGAGGGCTTTAATTTTGACTCTTGAAGATTTTGAATTATACCCACATCCCTCATACCAGCAGAGCACCAAGAGTATTGGTGGTCCTCTCTGGTACCTTCTTCAAACTTTGCACTGAAAGTTGTTTAGAGAGAT